CCTTTCATTCTTCCTACTGCATTGCACAACGCTCCCTCCAAACTTTTTTCTTCTTCAGTGCTGGAAATCGTACATTAATCTGCACGCTTGGCTGCGCCATACTTTAGTTGCCGCAGGAAACAACAACGGTAATGTGTTCCCATCCAGGCAAAGGTGAACCTTAATATAATGAACCCTGATATAACAAAACATTGGTTATTAGAAAGCAAATAAAAATTTCTCTTGCAACAGATACAGGGTTAAATATATACCTTTAAACGAATTTTCAGATATAAAAAATTTATTTTCTGTGAGATGCAACTTCATTCGTAACGAGGTCCGAGCGTGGCTAGTCACCTTAGTAAAAGACCAATATGCCATATAAGAAGCAGCCAAACGCTCACAGGCGCACAATTAAAGGCCAACTGCAACGAAATTTTACTTGGGCAGAAACGGCCAAAAATATGAAGTACATATACGGTAAGTTACGATAATGACAGTGAAAAATCTTGTAGTCGCGTATTTAATTTATAATTGGTGCTCTAATTGCCAGCAAGCAGACAACGCAGATCTCTAGCGGTGTGCCCAGGCAAATCGGACATAACCGGATATGACGATTACTACAGAATGTTGTTGCGTCTCTCCGTGTTAGCAATCCTACCTGCCGCTGAATTGCTCTTTCTTGCGTTGAGACCGTTTTTTAAATGCAGCACGATTGAAATGCGTCTGTGCGTTTGCACTGCCTCGGCACCACCTAAAAACAGCACGTTCAAAACGCATTCGTGCTACATTGAAGTTGATGGCAAGTCAAGTTCAAGTCGAGCAGCGTTTCTGAATACAGGAGTCAGACAATGCAAACCCACCAGTAGGAAGCCCGAACCAGCGTTTGATAAGAGGCATGTTGACGCAGCTTTCTTAAGTTAATATAGAAAAAAACACACACACTAAGAGGCGCGTCCGTGATGTGCGTGCTCGAGGAGCGCGGAGCAGACTATTTTTCTGCCATTTACGTCACTTCCGGTCAGCCGTAATGGCGTCTTTTCTATTTTCGGTCTCGAAATTGCCGTCGTTTGCAAGCTTCTTTCTAAAGTAAGCGCTAGTATTTCGAAGGCAACATTTGGCAGGCAGCACTACCTCTAGCTGGACTACCTATATATTGACTTTTTGCGGAATGCCCAATTTGGTTGCAGTTGGCCTATAATGATAGCAAAAATTACTGGGAAACCGCACATTCAAAAAGCATATACATAGCAAACCCCCGAGGGCCACTATTTTGTCTGCTTGCGAGTGCCAGAATTTTCGCTTTATCTTCCTCTTTTTTGGGATTTAATGTTCCAAACCCCCACAATATGTTTATGAGATGCTGTAGTGGAGGGCTTTGGAAATTTCAACCACCTAGGTTTCATTAACGTGCACCTAAACTTAAGTACATGGGCTTCAAACATTTTGCCTACACCGAAAGTTCAGCCGCCGCCACTGGGATTCAATCCCGCAAACTTAGCGTTGTCAGCAGAGCCCCATAGCCACTAGACCACAGCGGCCACCAGAACTACTAGATTTCAACGTAAAATGCCACTACTTTAAACTTACTAGTCATAGAAAGCTTCATCAGAAAAACAAAAGCAAGCAAACAAAGGAAAGCACCCACCTCCTTAAATCGGTTGTTGATGCGCCCCCTGTACACCCAGCCCTCCAGCATGTTGAAGTATGGTACAGATGCCTGGGAGTGAAAGGAAAAAAAGACGGAAACAAGAAAAAAAGGCAATCGCAAGTTGTACTCTCGAATGCGTCACAAAAGCATTCACTACTGGTGGATGCTAAAGGATCACAAGACATGCTGCAATAAAAAAACTAAATTTGTTTTGGTGCCAGACCACAGAATATCTGCACCTAGAGACACAGGCTGCAGATAGCTCGTGTCACAATTGCAACCGGTGACCATAGAGTGCATCTTAATGAAGACTATCAACACAGTTGCGAATTTTCACAAAGGCAACTCTTGAGCCCATCTTTTCGCTTTCTGCCACGTTGAACTAGCCCTTAAACGCACATGCAAATAGGCATCATTCACACTGTGTGCTATTCGTAGTCACATTTCTTTCATGGTAAAGGTGTCCTAATACTTTGGCTGTCGCATGTGCATATTTATTTGATTTATTGTTATATTTAAAATTTTCTAATTTACTGTGGCTCAAAGTCGAGCGACGGGGGTCAAACTGCATTCCGGTTTTCATAGTGATCGAGGCGTAATTAAAAATGCGAGAGATAATGACAAACACTAGAAAAGACAAGACAAGTGTCACAACTGAATGTAATTGAAATACGCACCCTTGTCTTCTCGTGCTCGGATTTTCGATTATGTCACCATACCAACAAGAACTTGCCAGTAAGGTGAGCACTTACACTGATATAACAAAACAGGAAAAAGAATCCACTCACCGCTTTGGCTAGATATAGGCAGATCTCCTTTGCCTTGGTGTCACTGTTGGAAAATGAAAGGTGCAACATTGGAGGTCAGCGTGTGAGAGAGAGTGACACTATACTAAGGCTTAAAAGATAGCCTGTCACATGAATATATATATCTTACCAGTTGGGTAAAGAGAAATATGCTATCAAATAAGCTGTTACATAATTCTCATTCAGCCTTTCAAACAGCACACCTTCAAGTGAACCATTACAATGAAAATTAACATTCTTACAGAATAAAATAGCCCAGATATAAGTGGTACGTACATATTCTAAAAGAAAAGGCGTTCAAACACGGGTACAAGAAGTCAGGCCACCACAAAAGCCTAGAGTCAGGGATGACAAGGAAAATGGCAGAAGACAAAGAAGAAAAGCAAGGCACAGAACGAGTGCACGAAAAGAAATTGGAAGACGAGAAAATAAGAAGGCGTGCGGGTCCACCAAACTGGAAGGCACGCACGTGCGAATAACTAGATTGGCCAGGACGGTGGAGAAAACTACTGATAGTCGAGGCAGCCTGGGTCTTGGGCAGCCTGACTCCAGGACTGCAACACTGATAGCCGCCCACGTTGCCACCTCAGCAAGCTGCCGACTTCCTGCTCCGGTCATCCAGACAGCTGGCGGTGCAGTGAGCGGCTTCGAACAAGCCCGGGCTTGCAGCCACCCGCCTGCCACGCCACAAGCACACAGGTCCGAGTGGGCTGGAAGTGCCTGGAGTGCCTGCCTGCACCAATCCCACTCACAAAGGGAATGACATTCTCTCAACTCCCATTGTGGGCGCAGTGCCCTTCTAGACCAGTGAGGATGTCTGTACCGATGGACGCGGTGAGCGAAGGATTGATGTAAGCGTGACTGAGGTCCACTGTAAGTAGCTGAGAGTGAGCATAAAGTTCAGCTCTTAGCCGACAAGCAAACAAGAGTGAACTATGGACACCCGTAGAATGTGGTTATGGTATACCTTGCTAATTATTTTGTTCCGAGGACCTAGCTGCCTATCGTTAGCTCTATACTTCAGTGTACTTATTCATGTCAGTGTGTGTGCAATAAATGGATTTTTACATCACACCTAGCTGCTTTCATGCGTTGATCCCGCTGATACAGGCAAAATGTCCTGCACACATTAAGAAAGGCAGAAAAGAGACAGGAAAGCTTATCAACACATGCTCATGCTTTATGTGAACCAATCAATTTGGCATGCAAGATATACGTGAAAGATTACTAAATTAATGGACTGTTGGCTCACATGCAAGCTACAACTATTATTGATATGCCGGAGAAGGTCTTGGCACCCATTCTTGGACAAGCCCTTGTCAGGGGGACTTGCATCGTTGCAAACACCGAGAACATCGCCTCCCATACACCCAAAATTGCGCATTTATCAAACATTGACGCGCCCCTATATTCTCAAAAATGTAAAGAAAAATTAGACTGTGAGCATCCAGTTAGGAAAATCTTGTGTTCCAAGAATGTCTGGTTAATTTAGAAGCGGCCACAGCTGGAAGGGATCCAGTAAACTACACTTGTACGGCAATCAGTGAATTTTGATTCGTTGTACAAAACAAATATCGGTCCACCTCCTGTACTTCACTTCCTAATTCTTTCTCTTCACTGGGGCACAAATTGTATCTAGTGTAGCGATGACGAAACAGTGATCGGGCTCGGGCGCATACTTGAGAGAGAGAAGACTACGAAGCCGATCATAGGACAGCGGTTCCAGCGACGGGTGCCGTCTGTCCCACACAAGCTTAATGGCAGCCGCATGCCATATCTACTTCCTACTTACCGACTTCCTTTATACATCTGGGGATTTATGTGCCTAAAGACGAGAAATTTTGACTATCTTGCGTCATTTATCGAGCCCTGGCATTTTGTAGTGGGCCACCCATCTTTTCACCTCCACCAAAATATAACCGCAACAGCAGGAATCTAACTCGTGACCTTCGGGTCAGCAGCCAGGCACCATAACCATGGCAGCTCCCGGCAAATTACCAATTCTCCACCGCACACGTGCCAGACGCACTAGGTTCTCCGATACGTACAAACATGTGGTTTTTTTGGTTTGTTATCTCAGACTAAAGATTTCGTTCAATGCAATTTAATCTAACCCTCATTGGCATTAAATGCTGCTTATCGTAGATGTCACAGTTCCACAAGCAAGAACAAAGATACAATTACGAGGCAATGTGTACATGCATGACGTCATGTATTCCTGACCAAAAAGTGCTATTAAATGTGCACATAAATTTACAACAGAATTACTTTAACATTACGCCCTCTACGACAGAACAGCCACTTATAGATTTGAAGTTGCACACTAGGCTCACCAGTCTGAAGTCGTGGGAAGAAAATTGCTGCAGCAGGTTAGAGCACTGCACGTGCTCGGGCCCACCCGAAAATGCCGGGCCAGTCAGACTAAACAAAGTCAGTGGTTTCACTTCAGCGTCCCTTTATGAAATGAGCAATGTCCAAGCCGTGCCCAACATGAGCTCGCCACCTCATACCCGGGTTCAGCCGTAAGCCCAGAGACAGAGAATAAACGTTTATTGGCTAGTGTCTATACCGAGAGCCCTCGTTGGGTGGGGCCTTCAGTGCAGAGCTCCAATGCCTTGCGCGACCCTGCGAGCCCGCTGGACCAGCTGTTGCTGTTCTTGCTTGCGTAAGCTGAGCAGTGCAGACTCCCAAGAAGCAGGTGTGGGGTAGGGGATGGGAGGAACACCCAATGGAGCAGAGCATTCCTATGTAGAGTGGTATACTGTCGGTACAGAGCCACAAAAGGGACAGTAGGAGGGGTACAGAGTTGGATAAAAACGATTTAGCATGTGTAAGCACGGAAATGAATTGGTCTGCCGTTGCCGCCAAGCGGCAGCATCTCCTCTGTTAAGTGACGGACAAGGACATTTATAACGGCTCTGTCAGTAGTAATCAAGCATCGCAGTGTAGCTTAGAAGTTCTGATGGAGCATTGTCTGGGTTGGACAGCTCTTCCAATGGTGCCCGGCCAGTCAGACCTCGGGCAACCGCATGAACGTGTTCATTACCATGGAGAGAGACGTGTCCAAGAGTCCAGACCATACGCACCGGGCGTAATGCGGACAGAGAGACAAAAGAAAGGATTCTGTGCATATGGGCAGCCACAAGTCCTAGAGCAAGGGCGCGGCAAGCAGCTTGTGGGTCTGTCACTGTGCTGACAGGAGAGCCAGGCAACAATGTTGTAGCGTGAATAATTGCAGGAGCAAGAGCTCCCTCTTCTGCAGAACTACTGTCTGTAGTGCGTAGAGTGGCAGACGCCACGCGAGAGTCTCATCTCTATCTGCTAAACACGTGGCTGAATTCACTGGGTACCGTGCTGCATCAGTGTAGAGGAGCGGATTTTCGGGAAGGTGATATGAAGCTGGAAGGGCCTATATAAGGATGTGTTTGCTGTGTTTTGCGCGTTGTAGAGGTGGAGCGTTAGGTGCAGGTAGAGTAGTAGGTAAGTGGTCGAGCGCCACCGCTATCAGTTGTTTAACATCCGCTACAATCTGCTGGACAGCGGGTTTCAGAGCCGGCTGAATTAATTGTTGGGGTGGCACTGTTAATTCTGTCATAAGAGTATCCTTCATTTTCTGCAGTTCTACCTGCATCATAGCAGTAAACAATGTCCTTAAAGAAGTAGCCATTCCGTTCAATGCCTCTCGTGTGCAATAGTTTGTGCACACCAAAGTTAGTTGCGTGTGAGGGTGAAGCTGGGTGCCCACTGACATGGGTTGCTGTGTTCTTTGCTGCGTTGGTGTTTCTGTGAGAAAGGGGGAAAGATGTGAAGAGGAAGGGAGAGGAGGAAACTGCTCTGCCCAGCTTATCATTGGTGCTTTCTGGCGAGGAGCGCTATGCTGGCCTTGATCATGTGTAATCCCTTCTTTGCGTCTGCCTGGAGCTCCTTGCCAGCCAGCAGAAGCGCTCCGCGACGACAAGTTTCCTCAGAGCCCCCCGACTTGTTACTGGAACGACTCTTTCGGCCGGCTGCACTCCTGGACGAGCTGCTCTAGCGTTCAGGGCTGGGGGATGGTGACTGATCTTTTCGGTTGAATGGAGCTGGCCGGTATGGTTTGAGTCTGTTTGGCAGCTGTTGGGTGGTCACCTCTGCAAAGCATGCAGAGAGGGTGGCATTCGTGGTTGTTTGTTGATGTACCCGCACACTGGACATTTCGGATTCTCTGGAGGTTGTGGGCACACATCGTGGTGTCCTGTCTTACAACACATCGTACATCGGGGAATAGTCCGTTTGTAGAGGTAGCAAAGAAAAGCCTGCCCGTGTGCGTTGACAAAGAATTGGACCCTCTTGCCACAAAATGTGAGCAGCGTTGCGCTAGAGTTGCCGAGCATCTGCACATGAGGACTTCTTAGCCCGGTACTTCAACTCGAGTCTTCTGGTGTGGTATCTTTGCCTATTCTATGGACGACACCCCTTTGCAGGAATAATCGGGTGCAATACCATATGAGGTGATGTCGTAAGTTGCTGCACACACTAATTTTGGCGATTTTTCCTAGTGCCGAGGCAATGTTCTCCGATGAGGTGCTTATTGTTAGAACGTTTTGATTTTCATCAACACTGAGCTTCATTCCAGTCTTCACACTTGCTAACTTTGCTTCTTGGGCTACGGCGAAAAGTAGCGTCTTTGGACTAACTTTGCCCACATTAAATCCTCTGTGGGGTCGCATTGGGGTTTTGTAGTCCTTGGCAGGTAGAGGTGGTAATCTGGGTAGACACGTCTCAAGACGACTTTGGCGTGGAGCCGGCTCAGATGGAGTTCTGGTCTGTTCTTGCTTCGGTGCGGTTTGAGACTGCGGTTGTCTGTGCTTGTTTGCTCGCAAGGCAATAGTGATCCATAACTGTGCGTTGTGATCCTTCTCATTCACTTTCTTGAATGTCGCGGCGTCTTGGCTGGTCTGTGTATCCATCGTGTTGTCCGTGGAGCGAAGGGGTGATAGGTGCCTTTCGTCAGCTGCAACGCTCAAAGAGACGCTCGCCATCTGTTGT